GATGGGGGAGGTGGTGACGATGGTGGTAAAGGTAACAGTCATGGTGATGGTGGTGGTCATAGTAAGGTTGATGGATATGCCCATGGAAACAATGTGGTGGCCATGGTGACAATGGTGGTTGTGGGGGTGGAGGGTGGTCATGGTAAAGCAATGGTGGCGACATGGTGATGAGCCACTGACGGGGTTCAAACTCACGCCGTCATTCAATGACTCAACTCATTTCCACCAATGTGGTAAAGGGCCACCTACGGTGGTGGAGTTTATCATTGGAGAATTGAGACACATTGAAGTCCATCAAAATATGAGGGACGAGGTTGGTTTTGATATGACAAAAAGATTACCCTAAAAGCAGTAAAAATTCATCAAAATCGATGAAATAATAAAATCTTTTAAATTCCATGAAATTTTGAATACACTGGAGTTTTTGTAGACACACAAAAAAATCATAATTGAATAACACAAGATTTTCATAGACTTTTTAAAAGTCATAAAAACTTTTTGTTCAACGTATGGTGAGTTTTATTGACTCCTTAAAAGTATATATTGAATACACCTGAATTTCAGAGTCAAGCAAAGTCCATTAAGCCTCATATACAATAAATCACCCTAAGATTTCATTTTAAAGAATTTTGGTAAGAATTTTAAAATGTACTTTATGTTTTAACAAATTCAGCTTCTCCCAATTTGGAGAAAATTCACTCAAAATATGTCTCTAGAGCCAATGAAAACTCCATCAAACTCCAATAACCAATAGTAATAAATTCCTAATAATCTAATATAGCTTTCATTTTATTTTCAACACTGTCCCTTGATCCAATTTTCAGTCAACGGTACCCTATGGATAGGATCAGAGGGTTCTCTCTGCAGCCTTTTGCTGCAAACCATTGTACAGCTTTAACCCTATTATTCAAAGGGATAAAACATCAATCGCTCCGTTTTCAGCATTACACTTTCTACGCAACTTTCTCAGATTATTTTCATTTGAGTTAATAGCCATGGGGTGAGACTCAGTTGAAATCGACTCCATTGAGTTAAAATAGGGATGATCAGGGCAAGAAAAGGAATGCCCTAGTCTTGAGTTTAGGGCCAAAACCCTTACCTTAGGCCTAGGTGTTTCTGTTTATTAGCAGTAATGCCAATGCTAGAACTTTTTGTAGGAGTTTCCGTTTTGTAGCAATATATTCAGTTTGTTCTAAATTTACATGTTATTAACAATATGACTGGCACTTAACAATCGCCTTGGTCAGTTTTTTTTTTTTATTTTATTTTTGCTTTCTGTTTTTTGTAATTACTTGCTTCCATACGTAATGAACAAAGTTGACAATAAACTATCATAACAAAGCAAACACCATAAAACTGATCCATAAATAATTACATGTGGGATGGCGTCCTCCATCAAACGACAAAAAAGCATAGGGGCGTTCGAGTGCATTCTATTGATTACTCAATGGTGTGGTTAGACTAAGCCTCGTGCACATAAACACTAATCTAATCTTGTCCTCAGGAGATTTTGGTTTGCCCTTTCGCGTTTCTTAAATTGCTCCCGCTAATGAAACGGAGGCTTAAAGCTTTCTCCTCTTAAATCTTAAAGTTTCCCTATCGGTTATGGGGCATGACAGAGACTTGGTAGTTTTGGTTTCTTTCCATCTCCACGCGAGCTCTGTCTCATATATATACGTTGCACAAGCTTTAAAATTTGTTCATATATGTGTTTTGCTTTTAAGCTCATTGACAAATTCTTGCGGACCTACCATGCATGCTTGGTTTCAAAAGTTATAGCATTTAAATATTTGAGACTGAGAGCTTTGACCATACAGATGTAACACGCAAGAATGTGCGGCGTGCACATGCATGCATGTCCATGTAGGAGAAGGCTTGCATACATTATATATATATTTGATGCATAGCTGGTACTTGGGGCAATTTAGAAGGGTCTTCGAAAGACTGTAAATGTGATGTAGATCATATATTGCGGAATAGACCGATGGTCAAGTTAAAAGGCATAAATTTAAATGTAAGAAGAAAATTTTGTAAATTTGAATTCTAATGTCTAATTTGGGATATAAATTTAACAGTAAGAAAAAAATTTTGTACATCGATCTCAGCCACAAGTCTTCTAGTGGATTAATGATTCCATATACACATTTATCATGCATTCGAAATTCCAAAGGACAAATACACACACACACATATATATATGCTGTTTTTTTTGTATGTGTTATTGATGGCCACTTACTATATAGTTTAAAAGTAGAAAAGAGTTTTGACTTTTGTTAATTTATACATGATGGTTGCATTTTCCATGTATAACACTTGCAGCTTAATTTAATATATGAAGGTGCTTCAAGCATAAACACAAATAAAAAAATGACTACTGAACACGATAACATATATGAGGGTAGCTACCTGCATTTCATATGGACTGATAAAAGAAAACAGATAAACCCTGCAACCCAGAACGAGTTCAACTTCAAGCTTTGTAATTGTATGTAGAAATTAGAAGACTTTGATCATTGATGAAACCCTAATGCCTTGACTTTCTAACTGTGATGTGACTTCAAAATCTATGTGAAGTCAATGTGAGGAAATTAATATTTGGTTTGATAAGAGAAACATTCCACTTGGGAAAGCTAAATACCTTTTCAAATATAATTAGCACATTTTATCTTATCCCTTGTCACTTCCTAGTTCCTAATATAAGAGCATTAGCTATCATTTTCTGTTCACCAATATAAAACTTAAAAAATGCACGTTGCATGTAAGCCAATCATGTATCCAACTACTTTTCTACTCTTCCGTTTTTCAGATTTCTTTCCCATCATCATGATTTTGTGGAAAATGATACTCCCTTTACTCTTTTCCCTACCATTACAACTGAAAAAAATATATTTATCGGCGTGTCCGAATCACGAGCACAAGTTTTTTATGTCATTATACAAATAAAAGGACACTTGAAAAAAAAAAAAAAAAAAAAAAGTTCGCTCCACTTAGTGAAAAACATATGACAGACTGTCCGTATTTTGGTTATATTAAAAAAAAAAATCTTGAATAATGAACAATATTAGGTAAATATATTGCTCAACCGCTGGTACATTTTTATTTCAAAAACCAGAATTATCATTACATATGATACAGTACTAGTAACTTCTCTATGCCACGATCGATAACCAACGATCATAACAAGTTCCTCGAGGTTTCAACAGATTTTCTGGTTCTGAGTACATGCACTCATGTAAAATACACCCAAAACTGAAACATACTTATGCTAGTGTTGATACTGATTCTTTTTATGATGTCTGGGATCAGGACCTCCGGGACTCAATCGCTTCGGGTAGTAACGAGTTTGGTTCGCGTCTTTTCTCAACCAAACGTTCAGTAGTTCCCTAGCACTTCCGGCCAATGCGTGTCTCGACCTGGTTAAATTCCTCTCCTCCTGACTCGGACTGAGACGCCGAGTTTCAGCACAAGAAAATAGCAGCAGCATTAGTACAATGCAGGCACAACATCTCCAGTTAATGAGCATTTTTCTGGAAAGGGTTACGTAAAAATGCTAGGCTTGTAGAGACTCCCCAAGTGAGTATGGTGTATATATATAGATTAGACACCATCAAAAGTGTTCGATTTTTGCTATAATATTATTCAAAGTGGGTGGAAATGGGACCTCACAAAGCCCATATTGTAATGCTTTTTTTGTTGTGTTTTGTAGTTGAGTTCTTGTACCTTTTGACCCCTTTTTCACTAATCGAAAATAACAAATACCGACCAACTCTTTGTACTCAAACAATACGCTACATCACCCACCCCACTCTCCCTCCCTCCCCCTCTACCCTCTACTATTAGATTAAGTCTATAAGCTGGGACATTTAAACTGAATAAAATTAAAGCCGGCTAAAAATTATGTGCGGCCGGCCGGATTTTCTTTCTCTATACTCCAAGTAAAGTAGAGTTATAGGCTCTCCATGTCCACATTCTCCTCAACTTTCCATCAACGAAGGAATAGACTAAGGAAAGCAAAGGGTCCATATATAGTATTACCAACTGAAGCCACCGAAAATCCTCAAAATATTCGTAAGATGTTACGATGTCGAGCGCCATTGAAAACTTCAGTGTCGTCGTCGTTTTATTTTGGGAATTCACAGGTTTGGAGAGGAGTTCACGAGCTAAAACAATCGATGTGTTGAGTCTTGTAATGTATTTTTCAATAATGGGTGGATAATTGCTACAGGCATCTCGGATAAGTTGGGTAGGTGATTTTAGTTATTACATGAATTTTAAATTATGTAGTGGGTGTTTTCGGCATAGAAGTGCCTTCAAATAAATTGGGGAGTGGCAATGAAGCCTTTTAGACTAGAAAGAAGACAATACCATTTACATTAAGAATGGGGATAGAAGGAAGCTATGGTTTACAAAGTGATCGATCTTTCATGACCTTATCATTTAGATGCCAATGGTAATTCAGAAGTAACTTGGAAGAAATCTAACCAGAACACCCGTATATACGAACTTGAGATGGAAGATTTATATACAGAATCGAGTCAGAAACCTGATTGCGTCCAAATAAGAACATAGTATATGTATTTAGGAAGGAAAATATGAAAGAGAGATGCCCAACTCATGCTAGGTTCTGAAGAACCGGCAGTCTGACTTCAAAAGAACAACTTGTAATATGCCAGTAAGAAGTTGTAAACTCAAGGCCTGATTCAACTCTGAAGCGTTGCATTTAGGTTTCAGATGATCATTTGTGTAGCGGATTCTTGTTGTCTGAATAGAAAGCATAACACGATGCTAATGTTCAAACAACATAGTAAATCATCACTATAACAGTATAACCACAGTTTTACATGCACTACTTTAAGTTTGTAAAGAAAAATAAGGCAACCCAACCTGTCATTGCATATAAGAAGCTTTTTTTATATAACAACTGTCGGCGATCTTGAACATGTCTGAAGCTCCTTGAACACCAGTTTTGCGGCAAATTTCTGAACTTTATGAATGTGATTAATTATTAAGGAAAATGCAACTTTATCTCAATGATCAAAACGGTGGACAGAAAAACAGGAAATTAACATCTAAAACAGTCTGAAGGATATCTTTGCTTCGTAAATGGGATGGTTAAGCATCAGTAGATTATTGTTGTTCACAATAGCTCTAACTAGCAATTCCTTGGCTTCCTCGTGTTTCTTTCTCAGCACGTTGCATATCTGCAAGGAAGATAATTGGCGATGCACAATCACACGAAATGGCGCTATATACTCAAATTATGACAGAAGATAATGATGCCTTGCAGTCCTATTTCTCTTTATAATGCACACAGAATGTTACAGTAAAAGTAGTGATAATTTACTCACATCTTCAAGCTCCGTAGCGTACGCTTCAGCCTTTTCAACATTTCCATCATTTTCCATTACTGAAGGAATATCAAGTTCCATCACAATGATCCCACAAGGACTACCGAGTTCAGAGGTTCGATGGTCATCAAAAGTGCTGTTAGTCTTGCTCTCCACATCACTCGCATGAATGCAAACCTAGCGCAAACGTAAAGAATATTTTAGTAAGTTTATCTAGTACAGGCTTCCACCTATAATTCACTTCATAGATACACTTAGCAGTCATTATAAATCATTAATACTATAGAGTTAGTTGAGAACCTGTTCTGCAACCACTTCTTTTGAAGGTTCTTTGAAGTTTCTGCACGTATTATTGGAAAAAGAATGTGAGATGTCAGCAGATTTCCAGTAAACCACTTTAGAACACGTAAATAGTAATAGGCTGGAAAAAGATTCAGAACAATAAGTTAAACACATATCTGCTAGCAAAAGAGGACCTGGATTCTTTAGGTGACTATGAAAGGCGCTTTAGAGGCTTTAAGGATGCTAAACCTGAAGCAGATCCCTGCAAAATAGCTTCGTGTAAGAAATCGAGAAAGTTAAATAAAATTTTCACAAATCATTTGGATAGAATAGAACAGAGCTTCAAATAAGAATGCTAAAGTCATGATATCATTCCAAAGAGAACTCGGGAGTTAAAGGAATGGGTTAATAATAGAAGACCTCAAATGTTTTCGCTTCAAGGAAAAGTTTGGTGGCTTTTGTTTCTCACTGCGATCAACAATCTGGGCAGTCTTTGATTCCACATTTCGTTGCACTTCCATGTTTTGCTGTGGACTCCTCAGGGAAGCATTCCATGAAACTTTACTGCCACCAATATTCCTACATTTAGAAACATCAAAACATTCAACATCACAATCAAAACATTTCTGCACAGAAAAGAACTGAAGAATAGGAATAATTACACTCGCACCATACTTTGAAATGTTCAAGGTAGAAAGGTCGGTTTTCTTCTGGGCAGGTTTGTCAGGAGAAAGTTTACTCCCTTCAGCTGTAATGATCTTTGTGTTCCTCATAGACTCCAGGCTTGAAAGCATAGATTTAGGATTTACACATGTCTGAGCACTAGGTTTAATAGTCTTCTCAATTGCGTTGGAAGGATTTGCTTGACCGCTAGAAATATTCACATGCCTGAGTACATATATTGACGATCAGATGTTTCACTAGAAGGTCCTGTGGACCATTGATAATATTGCTGAACAATGTACAAAATAAATTGTCATGTGCATGAGAATAAGCAGAGTCACATCTTTGCATAAGAACATCAGTCAAAAGAGTTTTTTATAAATGCCTTACCTTGGATCATGAAGACTTTTTCTCAGTCCACTTCCCAGGACAGGTTCCCTTTCTGTTACTTCTTTGTCAGATAGCCGTGAATTGCGAACCAGTTTGGCCCTGTTTGGTACACCATCAGACTTGAGGTCCTCTCTGTTGATGATTACAAAGGAAGGGACACTGCTATTTAGCATCATCAATAGCTTTATAGTATTTTCTACGAACTAAAATGACGTCATTTATTGTTTGAGTGATTCAAAATAATACGATATCAGTGTAAAAAGTTTACAAATCTATGTATTCAAAACAAAAAGATTACTGGAATATTGTGTCTAGAGTCATCAGCTGATAATACTAAATTTTTACATTACCTTCCCGATATTACATGTTTGGCTTTTGTTTCTTTATCAACTAACAGGGGAGTATCATGCAATTTTCTTCCAATTTGTGCATCATGAGCATTAGCAACCACCCTGTTGAGGATTATCCAAAACAGCTTATAACTTAAATGCCTAATATTCAATTTGTTAAGGGAAAAGTATCACTGTATCATTCACCTTTCCTCAATTGCAGGACGTAGATGCATGGTATCAATCCCGTCGAAACCAGATGAGAGAGATTTTGCTCCTATTAATGATGGCTGACACATTTGAGATCCAACTTCCTCCAATCTCTTAGAAATCTTTGAGTGGAATTCTCCACTTTTGCTTTCATTTGTCAGCATAACTTTATCAACTACAGATTCACTGTATCAAAAGAGGGAAAATGTAAATGACGCGTTGATACTAAAGCTCACATGTTTGCTCCCTATCAGAGCTATCTACACAGTCCAAGAGCATACCTGTTATAGATACAGATTAGATTCTGCAAGTTATAAGCATTTTTTTTTTTCCGATTAACTCAGTGGATGAGGTGGTGGACATCATTGTTATGTAATCAGTTGTCGTGTTATATATAATTTCTACGTGTGAGAGTTGTCGTTTTTCGGTTGCCTGGATATCACTACATATCATATAAGTCCAAGCCTGGCATACATATTTGGCCATGCAGATGATGAGGCTTAATTAAAAAACCAGGGATCCAAAAAGTAACAGCTCCTTTCTGATCTTAATGACGATTGCTGGATCTAAATCCAATGCAATAGTGATGTGGTTGCCATTCTAATCCCAATCAAATTAAGTAGAACTGCCACCGTCTCTGACAGTTGATGTCAGCTGAGGTAAACTAGAAAGATTATTGGGTGGAGTCTTTAGCTAGCTAGCTAGGCTGATGCTGCTGATTGCATTCGTTATCGGTCCAATGGACGCCACCTTGGATGAATTGACCCCAAGTGGATTTGGGATAAGCAATAAGATCAATTAGACATAGATTGAGTACTTAAAGGCGGTGTATTCACTTGGAACTTGTATAGGATGTAGAAAAGTTGAAAAATTCAAGAGTATTCAGTCAAAATTTTTAAAGAGTTCATAGAAGTACATAAAAATTCAGGTGTATTTAATTGTAATTTTAAATGAATGTATAAAAACTACATATTTATTAAATTAAGGGTGTAGTATATTAAGATTTATATGGACTATTGTTGAGTTTTTAAAGTGATAGACTTTTAATAACTTAGTAAACTTTTACTGATTATTATGAACTCTATACAAGTTTAATGATATACTTTTGCAGAATTCTAGAGAGTTTGATGCTAGAATGTTTTAAAATTCTATACATTTTAATGACCAATTTATTAATAAGCATTATTGTTTTACTAATGAAATGTGGTGAGGACGAAAGTAGTCTGGTGGTGACAACAATGGTGGTGGAAGTGTCATGTGGTGATTGTCAGCAAGATGGTGGTATTAAAGTCAATGTCTTTAGTGGCAGCAATAATAGTAGGGGTCGTGATTAATTGTGGTGGTGGGATGTTGAAGGAGTACGGATGGGGGAGGTGGTGACGATGGTGGTAAAGGTGACAGCCAGGTGGTGTTAGTGGTGGTCATAGTAAGGTTGGCGCTTTATGCCCATGGCAGTGATGGTGGTGCCCATGGTGACAACAGAGGTTGTGGGGATGGAGGGTAGTCATGGTAAGGCGGTGGTGGTGGCATGGTGATGAAAGTGATAATAATAATAGTTATTGTGTAATGGTGAGTAGTGTAGTTTATCATTGGAGAATTGAGAAACAATGAAATCCATCAAAATCTTACATTAAAAGCAAAACAAGTTTATCAAAATCCATGACATATTAAAATCCTTAAATTCAACGAAATTTTGAATACAACTAGATTTTTGTAGACAAAAAAAAAAAAAACATAATTGAATACCACAAGATTTTTATAGACTTTTTAGAAGGGATAATGTTAAGGAGACTAAATTTGCAAACTAAATGATGTGCTACCAATAGGAATGAGCACGTTTATCAACACTTAAGTAATAAACTAATCATCAACTTCCATATCCTTTAATTTTCCAAAGTTTATCTACAAATTTAGTCTCCTTAACATTATCCTTTTAGAAATCATAAAAACTCTTTATTTAATACTGGGTGATTTTTTTTTTTTTTAACAAACGATATTATCTACACTAGGGAGTGAGGAGTGGGCTAAGCCTCACAATGGGCTAACAATAATGTTGTTCAAATTCGTCTTTGGGGAGAATCAAACCTAAGACCTCTGACTTATAAGTGAAGAGGAATACAATTAGACCATAGTACAAAGCGGCTATACAAGGTGATTGTTATTGTCTTCTTAAATGTATTTATTGAATACATCTGAATTCAAAGTCAAGCAAAGTCCATCAAGCTCCATATACAATACATCACCCTAAAATTTGCTTTTAAAGAATTTTGATAAGAATTTTAAAATGTACTTTATGTTTTAACAAATTCAGCTTCTCTGAATTTTAAATTGTAGTTTACTTCAGTCCTTGCAAATAGGATAAAAGAAGCCCATGAGAATAAGATGGTTTGAATATTCTTCCCCCAATTAAGGTTGGTTTAAAGTATGAATAGTTGTGGTATTTATAGATTTTTCATCTTCATTAAAGCAAGTCCATCCATGACCCAAAAGGCAGGGTGAGGGCTTTGGTATTTATAATCGTCCTTGTCATTGTCGAAGCTCAATGGTGGAGTTGCACAAATGCATTCATATTTCAAAAGGCAATTTGCATGCCCTTTCCCTTGTTTTGCCCTTACAATCCTAAAATGAGTGGACTTGCTTTTAGAGTAGTTCCAGTGTAGCAAGGCCCCTTTGGACAATAGGCAACTCAATCTTCTTGAATGAATATAAACTGCATGTAGTGAATAGTAACTACAAAAGTGCATCTCTATCCCTAGACAGAATTGCCCAAACAATTTGTATTAAAATATTAGTAATTTTTATTTTATAAAATAATTAAAAATAATTTTATTTTAAATTTCGGATAGGATATTTTAACCAAAGGCGGATGAGCATGGTTAGGTATATTAGAAAAAAAAATTATACATTTTTTTTTCAACATTTTTCTGTATTTTTATAATTTTTAAATAATTTTTGTTATTTTTAAAAAATTTAAATTGAGGCTGACGGCAATTACATGGATTAGGTGCCAGGTCCGTGGAATTTCGCCTGATTGAGTCCTCTGGCTCGCCTTGAGCCCAATTACCCGAATGAGTTGGAATGTTTTAGAGGGAGAGAGAGTGGATTAGGTTGCCTATCAACAAGGCTATAGCCCACAGCGAAAGTGTTCTTAGAAGGGTAATGACAAGGCAAAGGCAAGAGCATTTAAATTGCCCTCTAAAAGGTGAGTCCCCTTATGCAACTCCACCTACTGGGTTTGGGTAAAGGCGAGTACTATTCACAAATATCCTCTTTTTTTTTTTTTTTTTTTTTTTTATGCCTTGTAAGTGTGTTTAAGTATGAACTTTATAAGTTTGTTCTTTGAAAATAAAGATCTATGTTTACCTATGATAGTTTAATTTCAAATACAAAAAAAAAAAAAGCGTCACATTACAACAAGCATAATTAAATGCAAATTAAAAAGATGATTGGATATTATAGAATAAAAAACTATCAAAATTCTTTTCCCTCCCCACCCTTCTCTTTTTTTTCTTTTTTTCTTTTTTTTTTTTTTTTTTTTGCATTTTAACGATTGGATTTATCATGACCATTTAATTTTCCTTATTATTGAATATGACGCTCCAGAACGCTGAAAATCCAACAGCTCTCGTCATGCCACGTCAAGCAGCCATTGGGATTTATTTTGCACCTGCAACAGCAAGGCCCACGAAATTAGGAGCCATCGGCCCACTCGCCCAATGCACGCATGTATTACCCGCACCAGACAAGGAAATAAAAAAAAAAAGACGTGACTGATGTCATGATGATGTTAGTCTTGCCCGCTGGCACAAAACCAACCTCAAATTTTGACATTTGTTGGCCCATCAATTACCCTAAAAAAAAGACCGGTGGAAGTAGTTTTTTTGGAGTGAAAGGTAATTTCAGTCTTTGTTCTGCCTTTTGGGTTATTGGTGAACTTGCTCCTATGAACACCAATTTATGATGATAGTGCTTCAACTTATTGTTATCGTATGTGGACTGGATCGTCTGTGTCGTTGGCCTCATACACTGTCTACATTGTTAATTGTAACCCAATAACCTTTTCTCTGCTACCAATCAAAATATGGTTTGTTAATCATTTGTTCTGTCATCCCCTATTGTTTACATGCAATTTTGTTTGCAGATAACTTGCGATCGAGGTAATTGTTAATTTTTTGTCCTTTTACTTGTCTTAATACGTTTTGGGCATGTTAATTAATACTTAGCCTATTATGGAATCAAGTGGCGCTAACCTTTTCCTAGAAAGGGCAATGGAGGCTCAAACTAGGAGGGAAAATTTTGGATATGATTAAGAGTATATTGTTCGATAATAGAAACGCTTTTTTATTCACCACGGTGACCATAATATATGTTTGCTCTTCCTTCGATTTTGAATTCAAAAAGAGGCAACCATATGAATTTTTGGTCATCAGGTGACCAAGTAAACAAGATTATGTATAATAAATGTCAAGTTTATTTTTCTTTTAAGTGTAACATGTTATATTGTTAAAGTTGTGAATTTTGTGTTAAATTTGTGAATATATGATTTCCAACTAAAATTGGATCTTCAATAACATGGTATGTGCACTCACCATGCACGCGTGCTGGTAATGAAGTTGTGATAATGATCGTGGTGGAAGTGTCACGTGACGATTGTAAGCAAGATGGTGGTATTAGAGTTATTGTCTTTAGTGGCAGCAATAATAGTAGGGGTGGTGATTCATTCTGGTGCATGGCGGGGAGGTGTAAGGATGGGGGAGGTGGTGACGATGGTGGTAAAGGTAACAGTCATGGTGATGGTGGTGGTCATAGTAAGGTTGATGGATATGCCCATGGAAACGATGTGGTGGCCATAGTGACAATGGTGGTTGTGGGGGTGGAGGGTGGTCATGGTAAAGCAATGGTGGCGACATGGTGATGAGCCACTGACGGGGTTCAAACTCACGCCGTCATTCAATGACTTAACTCCTTTCCACCAATGTGGTAAAGGGCCACCTACGGTGGTGGAGTTTATCATTGGAGAATTGAGACACATTGAAGTCCATCAAAATCTGAGGGACGAGGTTGGTTTTGATATGACAAAAAGATTACCGTAAAAGCAGTAAAAATTCATCAAAATCGATGAAATAATAAAATCTTTTAAATTCCATGAAATTTTGAATACACTGGAGTTTTTGTAGACACACAAAAAATCATAATTGAATAACACAAGATTTTCATAGACTTTTTAAAAGTTAGAAAAACATTTTGTTCAATGCATGGTGATTTTTATTGACTCCTTAAAAGTATATATTGAATACACCTAAATTTCAGAATCAAGCAAAGTCCATTAAGCCTCATATACAATAAATCACCCTAAAATTTGATTTTAAAAAATTTTGGTAAGAATTTTAAAATGTACTTTATGTTTCAACAAATTCAGCTTCTCCCAATTTGGAGAAAATTCACTCAAAATATGTCTTAGAGCCAATGAAAACTCCATCAAACTCCAATAACCAATAGTAATAAATTCCTAATAATCTAATATAGCTTTCATTTTATTTTCAACACTGTCCCTTGATCCAATTTTCAGTCAACGGTACCTATGGATAGGATCATAGGGTTCTCTCAGCAGCCTTTTGCTGCAAACCATTGTACAACTTTAACCCTATTATTCAAAGGGATAAAACATCAATCGCTCCATTTTCAGCATTACACTTTCTACGCAACTTTCTCAGATTATTTTCATTTGAGTTAATAGCCATGGGGTGAGACTCAGTTGAAATCGACTCCATTGAGTAAAAATAGGGATGATCAGGGCAAGAAAAGGAATGCCCTAGTCTTGAGTTTAGGGCCAAAACCCTTACCTTAGGCCTAGGTGTTTCTGTTTATTAGCAGTAATGCCAATGCTAGAACTTTTTGTAGGAGTTTCCGTTTTGTAGCAATATATTCAGTTTGTTCTAAATTTAAATTTTATTAACAATATGACTGGCACTTAACAATCGCCTTGGTCAGGTGTTTTTTTTTTTTTTTTTTTTTTTTTTTTTTTTTTTTTGCTTTCTGTTTTTTGTAATTACTTGCTTCCATACGTAGTGAACAACGTTGGCAATAAACTATCATAACAAAACAAACACCATAAAACTGATCCATAAATAATTACATGTGGGATGGCGTCCTCCATCAAACGACAAAAAAGCATGGGGGCTAACGTTCGAGTGCATTCTATTGATTCCTCAATGGTGTGGTTAGACTAAGCCTCGTGCACATAAACACTAATCTAATCTTGTCCTCAGAAGATTTTGGTTTGCCCTTTCGCGTTTCTTAAATTGTTCCAGCTAATGAAACGGAGGCTTAAAGCTTTCTTCTCTTAAATCTTAAGGTTTCCCTATCTGTTATGGGGCATGACAGAGACTTCGTAGTTTTGGTTTCTTTCCATCTCCACGCGAGCTCTGTTTCATATATATACTTTGCACAAGCTTTAAAATTTGTTCATATATGTGTTTTGCTTTTAAGCTCATTGACAAATTCTTGCGGACCTACCATGCATGCTTGGGTTTCACAAGTTATAGCATTTAAACATTTGAGACTGAGAGTTTTGACCATACAGATGTAACACGCAAGAATGTGCGGCGTGCACATGCATGCATGTCCATGTAGGAGAAGGCTTGCATACATTATATATATTTGATGCATAGCTGGTACTTGGGGCAATTTAGAAGGGTCTTAGAAAGACTGTAAATGTGATGTAGATCGTATATTGCGGAATAGACCGACGATAAAGTTAAAAGACATAAATTTAAATGTAAGAAGAAAATTTTGTAAATTTGAATTCTAGTGTCTGATTTGGGATATAAATTTAACAGTAAGAAGAAAATTTTGTAAATCAATCTCAGCCACAAGTCTTCAAGTGGATTAATGATTCCATATACACATTTATCATGCATTCGAAATTCAAAAGGACAAATACACACACACACATATATATATGCTGTTTTTTTTGTATGTGTTATTGATGGCCACTTACTATATAGTTTAAAAGTAGAAAAGAGTTTTGACTTTTGTTAATTTATACATGATGGTTGCATTTTCCCTGTATAACACTTGCAGCTTAATTTAATATATGAAGGTGCTTCAAGCATAAACACAAAAAAAAAAAGACTACTGAACACGATAACATATATGAGGGTACCTACCTGCATTTCATATGGACTGATAAAAGAAAACAGATAAACCCTGCAACACAGAACGAGTTCAACTTCAAGCTTTGTAATTGTATGTAGAAATTATAACACTTTGATCATTGATCAAACCCTAATGCCTTGACTTTCTAACTGTGATGTGACTTCAAAATCTATGTGAAGTCAATGTGAGGAAATTAATATTTGGTTTGATAAGAGAAACATTCCACTTGGGAAAGCTAAATACCTTTTTAAATATAATTAGCACATTTTTTCTTATCCCTTGTCACTTCCTAGTTCCTAATATAAGAGCATTAGCTATCATTTTCTGTTCACCAATATAAAACTTAAAAAGATATCCAACTATTTTTCTACCCTTCCGTTTTTCAGATTTCTTTCCCATCATCATGATTTTGTGGAAAATGATAGTCCCTTTACTCTTTTCCCTACCATTACAATTGAAAAAGATATATTTATCGGCGTGTTCGGATCACAAGCACATATATTTTATGTCATTATACAAATGAAAGGACACTTAAAAAATAAAAAATAAAAAAATAAAATGTTCCCTCCACTTAGTGAAAAACATATGACGTACCGTCCGTATTCTTGTTACATTAAAAAAAAATCTTGAATAATGAACAAAATTAGGTAAATATATTGCTCAACCGCTGGTACATTTTTATTTCAAAAACCAGAATTATCATTACATATGATACAGTACTAGTAACTTCTCTATGCCACGATTGATAACTAACGATCATAACAAGTTCCTCGAGGTTTCAACAGATTTTCTGGTTCTGAGTACATGCACTCATGTAAAATACACTCAAAACTGAAACATACTTATGCTAGTGTTGATACTGATTCTTTTTATGATGTCTGGGATCAGGACCTCCGGGACTCAATCGCTTCGGGTAGTAACGAGTTTGGTTCGCGTCTTTTCTCAACCAAACGTTCAGTAGTTCCCTAGCACTTCCGGCCAATGCGTGTCTCGACCTGGTTAAATTCCTCTCCTCCCGACTCGGACTGAGACGCCGAGTTTCAGCACTAGAAAATAGCAGCAGCATTAGTACAATGCAGGCACAACATCTCCAGTTACTGAGCATTTTTCTGGAAAGGGTTACATAAAAATGCTAGGCTTGTTGAGACTCCCCAAGTGAGTATGGTGTATATATATAGATTAGACACCATCAAAAGTGTTCGATTTTTGCTATAATATTATTCAAAGTGGGTGGAAATGGGACCTCACAAAGCCCATATTGTAATGCTTTTTTTGTTGTGTTTTGTAGTAGAGTTCTTGTACCTTTTGACCCCTTTTTCACTAATCGAAAATAACAAATACCGACCAACTCTTTGTACTCAAACAATACGCTACATCACACAGCCCCCAACGCCACCCCCCCCCCCCCCCTCTCTCTCTCTCTCTCTCTCTCTCTCTTCCCTCCCCCCCACCCTCTACTATTAGATTAAGTCTATAAGCTGGGACATTTAAACTGAATAAAATTAAAGCCGGCTAAAAATTATGTGTGGCCGGCCGGATTTTCTTTCTCTATACTTCAAGTAAAGTAGAGTTATAGGCTCTCCATGTCCACATTCTCCTCAACTTTCCATCAACGAAGGAAGAGACTAAGGAAAGCAAAGGGTCCATATATAGTATTACCAACTGAAGCCACCGAAAATCCTCAAAATATTCGTAAGATGTTACGATGTCGAGCGCCATTGAAAACTTCAGTGTCGTCGTCGTTTTATTTTGGGAATTCACAGGTTTGGAGAGGAGTTCACGAGCTAAAACAATCGATGTGTTGAGTCTTGTAATGTATTTTTCAATAATGGGTGGATAATTGCTACAGGCATCTCGGATAAGTTGGGTAGGTGATTTTAGTTATTACATGAATTTCAAATTATGTAGTGGGTGTTTTCGGCATAGAAGTGCCTTCAAATAAATTGGGGAGTGGCAATGAAGCCTTTTAGACTAGAAAGAAGACAACACCATTTACATTAAGAATGGGGATAGAAGGAAGCTATGGTTTACAAAGTGATCGATCTTTCATGACCTTATCATTCAGAAGCCAATGGTAATTCAGAACTAACTTGGAAGAAATCTAAGCAGAACACCCGTATATACGATCTTTAGATGGGAGATTTATATACATAATCGAGTCAGAAACCTGATTGCGTCCAAATAAGAACATAGTATATGTATTTAGGAAGGAAAATATGAAAGAGAGATGCCCAACTCATGTTAGCTTCTGAAGAATCGGCAGTCCGACTTCAGAAGAACAACTTGTAATATGCCAGTAAGAAGTTGTAAACTCAAGGCCTGATTCAACTTTGAAGCGTCGCATTTAAGTTTCAGATGATCCTTTGTGTAGCAGATTCTCGTTGTCTGACTAGAAAGCATAACACGATCCTGATATTCAAACAACATAGTAAATCATCACTATAACAGTATAACCACAGTTCTACATGCACTACTTTAAGTTTATAAAGAAAAATAAGGCAACCCAACCAGTCATTGCATATAAGAAGCTTTTTTTATATAACAACTGTCAGCGATCTTGAGCATGTCTGAAGCTCCTTGAACACCAGTTTTGCGGCTAATTTCTGAACTTTATGAATGTGATTAATTATTAAGGAAAATGCAACTTTATCTCAATGATCAAAACGGTAGACAGAAAAACAGGAAATTAACATCTAAAACAGTCTGAAGGATATCTTTGCTTCGTAAATGGGATGGTTAAGCATCAGTAGATTATTGTTGTTCACAATAGCTCTAACTTGCAATTCCTTGGCTTCCTCGTGTTTCTTTCTCAGCACGTTGCATATCTGCAAGGAAGATAATTGGCGATGCACAATCACTCGAAATGGCGCTATATACTCAAATTATGACAGAAGATAATGATGCCTTGCAGTCCTATTTCTCTTCATAATGCACACACAGTGTTACAGTAAAAGTAGTGATAATTTACTCACATCTTCAAGCTCCTTAGTGTACGCTTCAGCCTTTTCAACATTTCCATCATTTTCCATTACTGAAGGAATACCAAGTTCCATCACAATGATCCCACAAGGACTACCCAGTTCAGAGGTCCGATGGTCATCAAAAGTGCTGTTAGTCTTGCTCTCCACATGACTCTCATGAATGCGAACCTAGTGAAAACATAAAGAATATTTTAGTAAGTTTATCTAGTACAGGCTCCCACCTATAATTCACTTAATATATACACTTAGCAGTCATTATAAATCATTAATTCTATAGAGTTAGTTGAGAACCTGCTCTGCAACAACTTCTTTTGAAGGTTCTTTGAAGTTTCTGCACGTATTATTGGAAAAAGAATGTGAGACGTCAGCAGATTCCTGGTAAACCACTTTAGAACACGTAAATAGTAATAGGCTGGAAAAAGATTCAGAACAATAAGTTAAACACATATCTGCTAGTAAAAGAGGACCTGGATTCTTTAGGTGACTGACAAAGGCGCTTTAGAGGCTTTAAGGATGCTAAACCTGAAGCAGATCCCTGCAAAATAGCTTCGTGTAAGAAATTGAGAAAGTTTGATAAACTTTTCACAAATCATTTGGATAGAATAGAACAGAGCTTCAAAGAAGAATGCTGAAGTCATGATATCATTCCATAGAGAACTCGGGAGTTAAAGGAATGGGTTAATAATAGAAGACCTCAAATGTTTTTCACTTCAAGGAAAAGTTTGGTGGCGTTTGTTTCTCACTGTGATCAACAATCTGGGCAGTCTTTGATTCCACATTTCGTTGCACTTCCATGTTTTTTCTGTGGACTCCTCAGGGAAGCATTCCATGAAACTTTACTGCCACCAATATTCCTACATTTAGAAACATCAAAACATTCAACATCACAATCAAAACATTTCTGCACAGAAAAGAACTGAAGAATAGGAATACTTACTCTCGCACCATACTTTGAAATGTTCAAGGTAGAAAGGTTGGTTTTCTTCTGGGCAGGTTTATCAGGACAAAGTTTACTCCCTTCAGCTGTAATGATCTTTGTGTTTCTCATAGACTCCAGGCTTGAAAGCATAGATTTAGGATTTACACGTCTGAGCACTAGGTTTTATAGCCTTCTCAATTGCATTGGAAGGATTTGCTTGATCGCTAGAAATATTCACATGCCTGAGTACATATATTGACAATCAGATGTTTCACTAGAAGGTCCTGTGGACCATTGATAATGTTGCTGAACAATGTACAAAATAAATTGTCATGTGCATGAGAATAAGCAGAGTCACATCTTTGCATAAGAACATCAGTCAAAAGAGCCACATTCTTAATGATAAGATATGCAAAGTAAAGTACAAGATGGAACAAGGTCTTTTATAAATGCCTTACCTTGGATCATGAAGACTTTTTCTCAGTCCACTTCCCAGGACAGGTTCCCTTTCTGTTCCTTCTTTGTAAGACAGCCGTGAATTGCAAACCAGTTTGGCCCTGTTTGGTACACCATCAGACATGAGGTCCTCTCTGTTGATGATTACAAAGGAAGGGACACTGCTATTTAGCATCATTAATAGCTTTATTGTATTTTCTACAAACTAAAATGACGTCATTTATTGTTTGAGTGATTCAAAATAACACGATATCAGTGTAAAAAGTTTACAAATCTATGTATTCAAACACAAAAAGATTACTGGAACATTGTGCCTAGAGTCATCAGCTGATGATACTAAATTTTTACATTACCTCCCGATATTACATGTTTGGCTTTTGTTTCTTTATCAACTAACACAGGAGTATCAGGCAATTTGCTTCCAATTTGTGCATCATGAGCATTAGTAACCACCCTGTTGAAGATTATCCAAAACAGCTTATAACTTAAATGCCTAATATTCAATTTGTTAAGGGAAAAGTATCACTGTATCACTCACCTTTCCTCAGGACATAGATGCATGGTATCAATCCCGTTGGAACCAGATGAGAGAGATTTTGCTCCTATTAATGATGGCTGACACATTTGAGATCCAACTTCCTCCAATCTCTTAGAAATTTTTGAGTGGAATTCTCCACTTTTGCTTTCATTTGTCAGCGTAACTTTATCAACTGCAGATTCACTGCATCAAAAGAGGGAAAATGTAAATGATGCGTTGATACAAAAGCTCACATATCAGAGCTATCTACACATTCCAAGAACATACCTGTTATACATACAGCTTAGAGTCTGTTAGTTATAAGCATTTTTTATTTCTTTATTACATTATCGTAAGCATGTGCATGTATCAACTCAAAAATTAAATGGTTCTATGCATTCCTCGTTGTTTCAGTAACAGATGCACCTGAGTTTCTGGGTATTGTTAGTTTCTGTATTCAAAACCATTATGACTCATGACAGTTTCTACTTCTTATAGCTCCAAACATAAGTTAGTAACTTGAAAGATGGAATCAATGAAACAAAGGTGGCAGCTATCAATATGCTCAGAGATTTTCTGACCTGCTCTCTGCAGACAAAGGAATCTTTGAAGTCGAATTTTGGTCATCCTTGATACTTTTGATGTTAAGCAGCGTCTTCCTTGAGACGAATGTATTGAAATTGTGTTCAAGATCTAAATCATCTATAGCTGATTCAGTGTTTTCAGTCGAGATATCACTGCCTAACTTTGGTTCAGTGTTTTGTGTAGATATATCACCGCCGGACTTACTCCCATCACCATTCTTGCTATCTGGACTGTCAATGTTTACTGGTGATGAATCCTTCAAAGGCAAGTCTTCACTATTAGGACCGTCTCCTGCTGACATTTTCTCATCAACATCGGTATTAAAATCTGTCTGAAGACAACCATCATTCTCTCCTTCAAAAAGGGTACCTCCATTTGAATCAACTCCTCCTACAAGTTGACCAGACAAGTCATCTGTTGCCGGTTTAGCATATGGTTCTGTGGCCAACTCCTCAGATAAATGACTTCGCTGATCTGATTCTTCAACACTCTTAGTCATTACCTTTACTGGAGACCTTGGACCATATGGAAGTTCCAGATTTTCCGATCTAGATTTTGATGGGCAATTATCATTGATAGAAATAACCTTCCGTAAAATAACTAACGAGGTATCAATCTTTGAAGGGTCTACTCTCTCAGAACCACCATCAAGTGTACTAATATCTTCAGCCAGGTCAATTTTAGAGCCTTGAGGTCCTCTTCTATCAGAAAGAACCTCTTTTCTGCTATCTTGTTTCTTATTTGAACTCCTTTCACTTTTCTTTAAGTTTGGATCAAGATCAAAATCATCCAACTCACTTCCAAGAAAGAAAGTGTCAGGTACAAGTACACTTACATCGCTTACGTAATTCAAATAACGAAACGAAAAGAAAATACAGAGCTTACTCATTGAAATCAAAAGAGAATTTAAACGGGTCTTGTCTCCCTTGACGGTTTCCTTTGGAAGGTTCTTCTTCAGATCTCTCCTTGGTTTTTGCAGCTTTTCTGGGCGGGCTTGAGAAATCAAGGTCTGGCATGTCCATTTTGAAATACGATATCTTGCCAAAGTCACCATCCAGATTGAAATCCATATCCCTGAACAGAAAAGGCAAAAGGATTCTTATAAGATTTGTCTGAGATTTCTAGACTCAAACTAGCGTACATTTATTGGAACTGTATCTGTATAACTGGAATAAGCATACTTGAATCCCAAATTCTATCCTCCTTTTCAAAACAACTTGCCACATATTGCCGCGAGTACCAGATACACCAACTAAACGCATAATGGTAGACAATTTACCCATGATACCATACAGAAGCGAAAAGTAACTGTCACGCAAACCCTTAATCTCTAAATATAAGGAACCTGTTAATGTTTAGCAAAGATGGTTCTATAATTTAGTTAAAGAAAAACGCTTCGCAGTACTTACAGCTTCTCAAAGTCAAACACCTTCTTCTTGCCTTTGGAGCCTTTGGAAACTGTATCAAAGTGAAAATCCATTCCATCATCTTCCATTACTGATATTGATTTCCAGGAGGTGAGAAATTCGTCTCCTATTTCCTCATCTGTTATAAGAGGAACATAGGATCTGATTACATTGTTCATGTCAAAAGAAAAGTTCAGGCTATTAACCCTCACTCGGAAACTCTTCTTGCATACAATGACTTACACAGCAAAGATAAAGGCAAGGGACCAAAAGAATACTTAGAAATGAACTTTTTCCTTTTTAATATAATCTCTGCAAATTACACTAACTGTCAACAACTCACTGCGTATTCCAAATCAGGAAGAAGGATTTCAGTCCTTTACCACATTATGTATTTTCCATCCACCAAATTGACACTCTAGTAATAAAAATTTAAAGAGGCCTGAGAAAACTAAGAGCTTCAATCTACGAAAATTGTAATGATCAGTATATCACAGAGCAAAGCTAAACATAATACACCTCAAATTAGTGTAAAAACTGTTGATTGCTGTGAACTTTTTTCATTAGGAAAATCCAGTGACAGAACAAAGTATGATCTTAAGCAGCAACAATTAATCAGATGATAAGTAAGGGGTCAAATCGAAACGATAACCAAAGGAACTAGCCAAAACATAACTCTCGCCTAAATTTGAATAAAAAAAGGTTAGCAAACAGGAACAGTAGCACATTAGAAAACATGAATTTAGAGATTAACGGAGTAATTTCGAACAGCAAGCTTCAAGATGAACAGAATGGAGTCCAAAATGCAAGCGAATCTACAACCTACCACAAGCTCAGCATTAGGCTCAGCAAACCAAAAAAATGGATCACATACTACTTGCATGCACTTTCTGGGAAAATAAGCAAAATTTCCTGGAAAATACTCGGAATGGAGCTCAAAATTCAATCAACTCTACGATCTACCAGAAGCTCAACAAACAACGGAATCGATCACATTATGCTAGCTACTGCATTCAAATTCACAAGAAATTAAGCAATTTTTTTAGGAAAATACACGGAATCCATCAAGAAACGCACAAAACGAACAGCAACTAGTTCAAACATTCAAACGGATTCTCTTGGTCCAGAACGCATTGTACTGCTCAAGAATCCGAAACTTTACGTAGCGATTAGGGATTGAGAAACTCACCGATTTCAGAGCCGAAAATTGAGAGATAGAGATTGTGGAGGTGCGAGTTGCGAGTTGCGAGTTGCTAGTGAGAGAGCTCGTTGCTTGGTAAAATGATATCTGACCAAATGTGCGAGTATTTATAGTTCTCCAAGTTTAAAGAGGTGGGATGGATACAATTGACGGATTAGCGTGCTCTTTAACCTGGATTAGTGTAAATGCAAATTGATTAGACTTGAGCGTTGGTTTTGGCCCAATTAAATTTGCCAAATGTGGATTTCGGCTCAATAAAAAAGGCCCACAGTAATAAGAGTGGTTGGGTTTATTGTTTTCCTTCTAATTTTATTTTAGAATATTAGGATGGTTGAAAGTGTCACACTTAGTTTTGATTCCTAGCTTCGTGATTAATCCAGTGGTGGTTAGATGAATCTTTAATGTCTCTGCGAGTCTTTACCAATTCTCAAAAAGATGAACATCGTGATTCATACGATGATGGCCATAATTCAGATGAAACAAGTCCTCCTAGGTCCGTAAACCACCTTGATAGTTTTAGCCAATTTTTTTTCATTTCTATCGTTTGGAAATGCATTAAAGCAACTGAAAGCATTTTTAGTAGAAATGTTTTTGAAATCAATTCTTATTAAAAATCCAAGTGAATCTTGGAAAAGCACTTGAAATACTTCCTGCAGGAGGCACATATATGATATTTCTTTCAAAAAGCACTTGAAGTGATTTTAGAATCCAAAATCAATCTCATCAAAAACGTTTTTAATTATTTTAAAAGCAAGTCTCCAACGAGTCATAAGTCTAACCGATTTCAGAGCCGAAAATTGAGAGATAAAGATTGTGGAGGTGAGAGTTGCGAGTAAGAGAGCTCGTTGCTTGGTAAAATGATATCTGACCAAATGTGCAATTATTTATACTTCTCCAAGTTTGAAGAGGCGGGATGGATACCTGTGACGAATTAGCGTGCTCTTTAACCTAGATTAGTGTAAATGCAAATTGATTAGGCTTGACCGTAATAGGCTAACACTGGTTTTGGCCCAATTAAATTTGCCAAATGTTGATTTTGGCCCAGTAAAAAAGGCCCACAGTAATAAGAGTGGTTGGGTTCCTTCTAATTTTATTTTAGAATATTAGGGTGGTTGAAAGTGTCACACTTAGTTTCGATTCCTAGCTTCGTGATTAATAGGATGGTGGTTAGATGAATCTTTAATGTCTCTGCGAGTCTTTATCAATTCTCAAAAAGATGAACATCGTGATTCATACGATGGTGGCCATAATTCAGATGAAACAAGTCCTCCTGGGTCCGTAAACCATCTTGATAAATTTAGCCAATTTTTTTTCATTTCTATCGTTTGGAAATGCATTAAAGCGACTGAAAGCATTTTTGGTAGAAATGTTTTTGAAATTAATTCTTATTAAAAATCCAAGTGGATCCTGGAAAATCATTTGAAGTGCTTCCTGCAGGAGGCACATATATGATATTTCTTCCAAAAAGCACTTGCAGTGATTTTAAAATCCAAAATCAATCTCATCAAAAACGTATTTAATTATTTTAAAAGCAAGTCTCCAACGAGTCATAAGTCTAACCGATTTCAGAGCCGAAAATTGAGAGATAGAGATTGTGGAGGTGAGAGTTGCAAGTAAGAGAGCTCGTTGCTTGGTAAAATGATATCTAACCAAATGTGCGAGTATTTATAGTTCTCCAAGTTTGAAGAGGCGGGATGGATACCTGCGACGGATTAGCGTGCTCTTTAACCTGGATTAGTGTAAATGCAAATTGATTAGGCTTGAGCGTAATAGGCCAACACTGGTTTTGCCCCAATTAAATTTGCCAAATGTGGATTTTGGCCCAATAAAAAAGGCCCACAGTAATAAGAGTGGTTGAGTTTTTTGTTTTCCTTCTAATTTTATTTTAGAATATTAGGGTGGTTGAAAGTGTCCTACTTAGTTTCGATTCCTAACTTCATGATTAATATGATGATGGTTAGATGAATATTTAATGTCTTTGCGAGTCTTTACCGGTTCCCAAAAAGGTGAACATCGTCATTCATACGATGATGCCATAATTCAGATGAAACAAGTCCTTATGGGTCTGTAAACCATCTTGATAATTTTAGCCAATTTTTTTTTTAATTTCTATTGTTTGGAAATGCATTAAAGCGAGTGAAAGCATTTTTGGTAAAAATGTTTTTGAAATCAATTATTATTAAAAATCCAAGTGGATCCTGGAAAGCATATGAAGTGCTTCCAGGCCCATATATGATATTTGTTACAAAAAGCATTTGCAGTGATTTTAGAAGCCAAAATCAATCTCATCAAAAATATTTTTAATCATATTAAAAGTAAGTCCAACAAGTCATAAGTCTAACCAATTGTTCGTACAAAAGTTCAGAATAACCTTTAGAATTAAACGACAACACAAAGAGTACCGAACTAAACGTACAAGATAGATACAACTGAAAATTTATCCACATATCCTCAGCCTCACAAACCTATAGACTGTCGGAAACCATGCCTACCTCCGAAGCTCAAGAAGTATACTTACAGTCGAATACGGAGTTGTAGTCCCACTCCCTATTCCCTAAACACTTCGTCCATGGCGTCCGTACTCGGAAGTTGCTCGACAGCAGCAACTGTGGCCCCTCGACATCTCTCATCTCGCACTTCCAGGACTTCAATTCCCTCTCTCTCCATATGCCCAGGTAATCATTCCCCACCAAACAGAAGAAAACCCACTTCTTCTTCCAGCATCTGAACCATGATTTGGGATTGTTTTCTGCAATTTGATTGAATAAATGAAATACCCAGTTCGTAATTTGGTGTTGTTGGTGTTTTGATGGGAGATTTGATGTGGGTTTTGGCTGGACAGTGGTGGTGGGTTGCTGTTAATTTGAATGGAATTGTGTGTTTTGCATTGCAGGGAAGAGTTTTGGGAGGAAGTTTTATGGAGGGATTGGGGTTCATGGAAAGAAAAGGTCTCAATTCCAAGTGACCAATGTTGCTACTGAAATCAGCCCTTCTGAGCAGGTCTGAATTTTCTTCATCTAATTGCAGTATTTAACAACAAATTTTTTATTGGTTTGGTTTGATAAGTTCTATTACTAATAGATGAAGTTTAATTTGAATTGGTGGTTCAGTTTTTCTGTAATGTTGGAGAAAGAAAGATTTTTTGCACTCTCGATGTTTGTTGAACCGAAAATTTCGAGAAATAGTTTGTAGTTTATTATTGGGAATTATACATGTTATGTAAAGATTTAGGTTGTGGAATTTATGTGTGACTAATTGTATTCAGGCACAGAGAGTTGCTGCTAAGGAAAACCAGAGGCCAGTATATCCATTTGCCGCTATTGTAGGACAAGACGAGATGAAACTGTGTCTTCTGCTCAATGTGATTGATCCCAAGATTGGTGGTGTCATGATCATGGGAGATAGGGGAACTGGAAAATCCACAACCGTTAGGTCTTTGGTCGATTTGCTTCCTGAAATTAAGGTAGTTTCTGGTGACCCATACAACTCAGACCCAGAAGATCCGGAGTCCATGGGTGTGGAAGTTAGAGAGAGCATTGTGAAGGGGGAGCAGCTTCCTGTTATCAAGACTAAGATCAACATGGTTGATTTACCCTTGGGTGCTACAGAAGATAGAGTCTGCGGGACAATTGACATTGAGAAAGCTCTCACTGAGGGGGTCAAGGCATTTGAGCCTGGCCTTCTTGCAAAAGCTAATAGAGGAATTCTGTATGTGGACGAAGTTAATCTTTTGGATGATCATTTAGTGGATGTTTTATTGGATTCTGCTGCATCGGGATGGAACACGGTGGAGAGAGAGGGTATTTCAATTTCACATCCTGCCCGGTTTATTTTAATTGGCTCAGGCAATCCAGAAGAAGGAGAGCTCAGGCCACAGTTGCTTGACCGTTTTGGAATGCACGCACAGGTTGGGACTGTGAGGGATGCAGAGCTCAGAGTGAAGATTGTGGAGGAGAGGGCTCGGTTTGACAAAAACCCTAAAGAATTTCGGGTTTCTTACGAAGCTGAGCAAGAAAAGCTTCAGGAACAAATCGGCTCAGCTAGAAGTTATCTTCCATCTGTTCAGATTGATCAGGACCTCAAGGTGAAAATCTCCAAGGTTTGCGCAGAGTTGAATGTCGATGGATTGAGAGGAGACATAGTGACTAACAGAGCTGCAAAAGCCTTGGCTGCTCTAAAGGGAAGTGATAAGGTGTCTCCAGAGGATATTGCCACTGTCATCCCTAACTGCTTAAGACATCGTCTTCGGAAGGATCCTTTAGAGTCGATCGACTCCGGTTTACTTGTCATGGAGAAGTTCTATGAGGTGTTTAGCTGAAGGAGACACTGAAAGGCCCCTTACTTTTTTAATTTTGTTGGCAAGATTGTTTTTGTTTAAATTCTTTTCCGGGTTTTAACCCATCCCGCTTTTACACAAGCACATTTAGGTTTCACCATCAATATGTTCCGACTACTGTGTTATATTATGGTCTATTTTTTCAAGAAGCATGAAGCTCAGTTGAACTATCTGTATATGGATCCAATTTTTTGCCTATGGTTTCTCCTAATGTATTTACCGTTGCACGTTGACCTTTCGGTTCATAAACTTGGTTATTATAGTCGGCTTTGTACCTTGTATAAGGCAAATTTTCCTGCAACAGGATGCTATTGTGGTGGGATGTCAAACCAATCATGCAATGTCTTGCCCTTCAACTTTTTCACACGGCATTGCGTGATTGGAGGAATGATGATCTTTTCCAATACAAATGGATAGCAAAGTAAATATTATTGCAGGAATGATGATCGTTTCCAATACAAATCGATACAATTCGTTGAAAATAATTTACGGCATTATCGTATTTCTATCTACAACTCTAGGAACCTTAAAACGGGGATTCTGCTCCACAAAATCTGGTGGCCGTTTGTATACAATTGATGCGGCCCTAATCAAGATGCCAGCAGTTAAACCCCAGATCATGTACTTCTTGTTCTTGGTTTCGTAGTCGAAGAAATGGATCAGAAACTTGTCTCCCATCCACTCTCTCTCATCTGATGTCCGGTTTTCATCCTGAAGCAAATGCATACACAACGATCTTCAAGAGAATCAAAACATAACTACATAATTTGTAATCAGAGTATGAAACTAAAACGAGAGAAACCTTGAGGAACATTTCCAAGGGGGCATCGAATATTGCTTCCACTTCAGCAGGATTTGGATCAGGCATGAATGCTTCCTTCTCATTAAGTATGCCAATAACCGGAACAACCCTTAGTAGGTGCTGTGCACAGAAACCCAATGGTTAGCAAAATCAAGTTCCTCATCCAAAATAGTCTTTCAAGTTACAAGTCCAACACCGAAATTTGCATTGTGTACATCGACCCTAACCACTACGTACCCTATTTTTGAAGTCAATAAAAGCACTTACTCAACAATACAGACTACTACACTGCTCTTCCCCAAGACCAACTTCCAAAATTTTCGATCGCCTTATGTGAAAACTCAGGATTCGGATACACGCGATTAAAATTTGTAAATATTAAGGACATGTACTCAACAGAACAACATGAAGCACGAATGAGTACAAACTAAATGGCCGTGTCAGCCAGACACTTCTTAAGAACACCTCCAATCTACCAATATGATTACTCATTTTTCCGGAAACTGATACTCTAAGCCGTAAACTCAAACTCATTTTGCAAACACAAAGTATAAGATAACTCGAGCATTTCTTTCTAGTCTCAAATCAAGTTCCCAACTTTCACCTTCCAATGCCGAGAAACTAACGCATAAATTCGCAACTTCACAAACATAATTCAACTAACCAAGTTCTGTGTCCACTCAATTGCACACATTTGAGCTCAATGAAACCAAAATTTAGAACAAATCATGATCAAACTTTATACCTTTGATAGGAATGGTTCAAGAACAGTGACAACGTTGACAAGCTTGGGATCCAAACCAATCTCTTCTTTCGCCTCCCTCGTCGCCGTGTCCCCGTCATCCTTATCCCCCTCCTCTGCTTTCCCACCCGGCAATGAAACTTCACCTGCAAAAACACAAAACCAAAAATAAAATAAAAAACCAATCTTTCCCATTGTCTTTCAATTTTCTCGGGAAACAAACAAAGGGTAACGAAAATTGCACACACCGGAGTGAGTGGACAGCTTCGATGACCGCTTAGTGAGAATGACGCGGATATCGCCGGCGTCCCCTTCAAAGAGGCAGACCAAGACGGCGGCTCTCTTGGGTCTGAACTTTTCTGGGTCCCGCGCAACTGGGGTGTCGGATTCGGCAAATCCCACCTGGGACACGACCTTGCCGGCGGTTTCCTCGATTCTCTGCTCCTCAATGTCGTCGTCGGAGGGCAAAGGCGGCGGCTTGTAGAGGCGGAGCTGCTGGGCCAAGGCGATGAGTCTCTGTGAGCCTCCGCATGAATTGGGCGGCTCCATGAGTAGCGGAGGCGGTGGTGATAGCGTTCTGAGGATTGAGATCATGGGCTGCGCTTCGGCATATTAATTAGGAGCTTGAAAACTTAGGTTTTAAGGAAAATTATAAAAAGGTCGAGTTTTTCGTTAAAGTTTTCTTTTAATTATTAGGCTAAATTACATAAAAAGTCCTCTATTAATTGGAATTTTAACTAAAATTTTTTAGTATTATTTATTTTAATAAAAAATTATATTTTTATATTAAAAAAATCAATTTTAGTACTATTTATTTTATCCTTTATTTTGTCCTTATCCTCCCACACACCATATACCGTCTAAAGTTGCAACAGCAAGACAATAGTACCATTGTACCCAACTTCTTTTTCTTTAGTCCACTCGTCTGTGGATTTGGATCCTCGTCGAATCCCTTCCTTGGGGATCCTAGGGATCAACGAACACGGACCGTTGATAAAAAATCGTGCATTCCCAATTAAATGCTTTTTATATTTTTAAAAGTAAAACATCATCGTTTTACGTGAAAAATTATAAAAAAGGTAAAAATTGTGGCCGCTTGATTTTTAATCAACGGTCCGTATTCGTTGACTCCTAAGATCCCAGGGAGGGGATTCGACGAGGATCCAAATCCCTCCTCTGTTGCAACTCAGCTGCGCATGCTATCCTTTTGTACAAACTTCTTCGGTGCAAAACATTTCTACTCCTCGATCGCAAGAGCTCAACTTGGAACAGGTGGTCTTATACAAGGACCAGCTTCTCTGCCATCCTAGTTCCCATACATTCTCATCCCCTCCTATTTTGTGCGGTCACTATTAAGCCATGTCAACATTTTATATTGATTTTTTTATAGAGATAATAAGACAAAAACCAATAGTGATATAAAATGTTGACGTGGTTTAACCATGACCACACAAATAGAAGGGGATGAGAGTGTATAAGAATTGGAAGGGCAAAGAAGTCAAGTCCCTTATACAAAACAAGCACCATACCTTCCAAACTTCTGTCCATATTGATAGGATTAAAAGCACACCACAAAGTAGCACATTGATGTCCTATTGATTTTTCTTATTAACACTAAAATTTGTCAATTGTAGCATATGAAAATAAGGGTCTTTCCAGCAGAAGATTGTTTTATCTAACTACCTAAAATGTCATAAAAACTGGGTTGTTGTCTCTACTAACCAGCCGCCGAAAAATAATTATTAGACCGACTTACACTTATCTCAAGTCTATCAAATTTTATATGAAAATACTAGACACACAGAGCTACACTCACACAAATTTTTGGGATTTTTGGAGTTGATTTGCTATTTAAATTAAATCGAACAAAAACAGAACAGAAACAGATTTTAAATAATAAAAATAGATTATAGTTCACAAGCTAAGAAAACGAGTTAGGAGAATTGCTATCTACCACCAAATAATCATGAAAAAATGTTATGTTTCATTCAAATTCCTTCTATTTCTGGATGAAGATGCTCAAGTTGGCTCAATGTTAGAATTCAACCTATTACTCTTTCTTATGTCGTATGTTAAGAGAATAGCGTTTTCAACTTAACTTAGTCCCTAAAATGCAATCTAGAATGGTGTGTTCATAGATTTAACAAGTAGAAATCATTAAGAACGAAAAGAGTTTGAGTCATCACAAGGCACCGTAAGTACTAGTGTTGTCTTACTTATCCTAGAAATTGGTTCACATGTTAATCGCAATTAACAAGTGCTACTCTAGAACATATGTAGGTCCTTATTTGACTAGGGCAGACACACACATATTCATAGCATTAGAATCATAGATATGCTTACTAAGTATGCATCCGTAGAAAACACATAAAGAATTCGTCAATGAGATAAGTAGTGAACCAATTTTCATCCATTCATAAAAGTAATTCAAACGAAATGTCATAACAAACTTGCAATGATATTCGGGGCTTCAAAACAGCCCCTAACTACTAAAAATTTAGTTACACAATTCTTAAGTTAAAACAAAAGATAGACATGAGTTTCAGAAAATAGAACTGAAAGAAATTGACTGAGGCCTCCTTTCTCCTTCCTTCCCCAATGCTACTTTTAAACCAATTCTTGCTGCATCATTTTCTTCTCCTTAAATCACCCACTAATAACCATTTAGTGATGACAATAAGTGAGAGGAAATGTAAAACAATTGTAACTCCTTGGGTAGCCTTTATGCCAATTACTCCCTCTTAATCCTCATCTTTAATTCCATTTCCTCTGATATTTGAATAGGTGTCAGCTGGTTTGTTCTTGATTGCGTCAGTTTTGGCTACTAGATTTATTGGATTTATTGCTTTCAATGCTTTCTTGTCAGTTACAAACTGTTCAACCTCTTGGGAACCTTTCATTGTTAAAACGGCCATAACTTCTTCTAGAAAAATGATATTAACAATCCGCGAAATCCTCCAGAAAATAGACATCCGTAGCTTTCTAAGCATATAAGGCTTATTCTCTAATTCATTTTGAGCTGTCCGCAACTTGCTTCCAAAGTCAACTGACCTGCACAGACAGTTTTGACGAATTTGTTACTTAAAATTCCATTTGTGTTATTTTTCTTTTCTTTACTTGACAAATCCTATAAAACACAAAAACAAAGTAAATAACTCAAAAATATAAAGAACTAACTAAGAAAAGACAAATGAATTTGATATAAAAAATATATAAATATAAGCTTATCACATATGCTAATATGGTGCAATATATTGATCTTAGTAGTTAGGGTTCACATCTTCTGGCGACTCACACTCTTGTATTGCACCGATATTATCATCAACTTCACTACGTAGGTTTTGTAGATGATGTGATTAGGTAAATAATGGATATAAAATTTTATAGCAAAAGGCTTCAGTTCAAGGAGAACTAGCAACTATTTACATACTTTTTACGTATAATGATCTCTTCTTGACGTGAGATAATTTGTAGTTCATCGATATTTCCTAACTCTAGTCTAGAGTTTAGAGGGTCCCATCGAAAAGGTGATGTGTCTGGTTGACTAGCTTTTGAGGGCATTAGTTGCTTGCTTAATAAGCAAATGAGACATGAACTCCTCCCAAGAAGCAACCAGACCAAACCAACAATATGATTGACAGTCACTGTCCCTTCCGTTTGTGGAATCTTTAGTATATGTTGTCTATCTTTACCACTGTAAGGTTTTACTTGTGACCAGCTTTCTGAAAATCCACCAAGAAAAAAACAGTGACTCGAAGTCGATAGTTGCAGCAGAAAAGGGTTAATTAATTAAGAGGTGTGGCATTTGCATCACTTCAGCAAGTAACTAGAACTAGGGTTGGCGCCATATTCCTGTTTCATACAAGAGTTTGCAGCTGAACAAGAAGGAAGCAATTAGAAACCCTACTTTTCTGCATTAATGCTATGCTTAGCTTTTAACAGGCGATCTTTATGACGTCTTTTGCTTCCTCAGAATGTGTCATGCCATCTCTATCAAACGCATCTCTCATTTCGTAAATTTGGAGTACATGGATATTAATATATTGTATGTTGTGTGATGAGTTTAACGACTGGATATGCACTAAAGACTCCAGGAAATTTCAACGGATGAATCTGAGCCACTTAAAAGACCGTGTATAATTTACATTGATGTATAGTAGGACTCTTCTTGCCTATATTGCTGGACTATTTGCACTAGTGTCTTCCATGAGAGAGAGAGAGAGAGAGAGAGAGAGAGAGAATGTTACGACAAAGAGAATCAAAGAATAGGGAAGAACAGAATGAAGATTATCAGCATGTTCACTACTTGATGCCTACTTCAAAATCGGCATTCAAGCAACCGCGGTCGACAATGCAAGATATGGAAAGATTGTGAAAGTTCACGGAGGCCACATTGTCCGATCCTTGGCAAGAAAAGACCAGCACAGCAAGGTGTACACTTCGAAAGGTCTGAGAGACCGGAGGTTCCGGCTGTCAGCTCATACTGCTATACAGTTCTATGATGTCCAAGACCGCCTTGGCTACGACTGTCCGGGTAAGGCCATTGATTGGCTCATTGAGAAGTCCAAAGCAGCCATTGAAGCACTCTCTGAGTCTGAACAACCTTGCCAAGAGTACTATGATTGCACTAATACTAATGTTTTTGGTCAGCAGACTGAGCAAGAAATTGGAGAACAAAGTATGCATCAGTTTTGGAATCACCCGGAAAGCAATGGGGAACTGGAAACAATGAGCAATGTTAGTCCCATGAACAATGTCAACAATCTGAAAGAACCGGTTTTCGATCCTCACCAGTTAAGTTCATTGAACTATGCCGAAGGAGCCCTCGATTCTGCATCAAGTCTATCGGATTCCAAATTCAAGGAGATGGGATGGTTTCAAAGTTTGGTGGCTTGGAATTATAATGCAAGTGATGGAGGAGAAATCTGTCCTTACAATTCATCGCATGTATCTCTGCATTAGCCATATATCTTGTCACAAGTTTTATTTGCTTCATGTCTTTTGAATTGTGTTTTTAGCTCGTGTTAAAAATATTCGTAATCTAATAATCTAAATCGGATTGAGTTACTTTTTCAGTTATTTTCTTGTCGGTCTTCTTCTTTTTCTTTCCATTGCAAGTTTTGTATAATTTAAACTACGAGAAGCGGAATTCGAAGTTGGGATAGAGGGATAGAGCACACATCTAGCTAAGCATGCTGGTGAAAAATCTGAAAGAGAACAACCAAGAGTAACTTCTAATTACATTGTGCAAAAGCACAGAATAATCCACTCCAACAAATATTTTGTATATTTACAATATAAATACAATAATCCTTTTTCCCTTTCACAATATACATTAATATGAAGAAAGAGGGGAAAAAAAGAATCATAGAAGGATGGTTCACTCCTAAATCCAGGTCTTGCTCGATAACCGCTACTGCACGCGCAAGCACATTACTTCCACACCACTACATGTACAAGAATAAGAAATGACGCGTATTTAAACAAATGGCTCTTCCCTCATTTTTCTGCTGTTTGAGTCGATAAGATACCGAAGACATTCTTATTTAGTTTCTTTTCTACCATTGGATCGGAACCAACAAAGTCAATGTTCATTTCTGAGTGTTTTTTCTTCAGTTTTAATGCTCTCTGCGGTTGCCGCTGATTTTTCTTCGACAGCTGAGTAAGACAATCTCCGAGCCTTTGTAGTTGGCTTACCATTTGATGAAGGAAGTTTAACTAAAACCGCAGCTTTTGGCGTTGGTGAATTTATGTTCTTACCATCTGGGCTTGCTTGCTTACTCTGCACTTTCCTTGGACTAGGTGACTGTACACGGCTTTCCCAGGGGCGAGCAGCAATCCAGCGCTCCTTCCAGCTCCATCCCCAATTAGCTTTACCGAGTTCATAATTACCCAAGCTTTGGTTCTGACTACAGTTGGCCCTCCACTACAAATCATGGAATATGTTTTCAATTTCAATTGATTCAAGGTCAAATTAACGGGTTCTACTTCCATGCTACGTAGAATTAAATGCTACGAGAACAAATAAAGTACAAATATGAGAAAATAGTCTACCTGATGAGAAAATGCATATGCCATAGCCCGCTCGCGCTTAACTGCTGCTTCTTCTCTTTGATATATCCTTGCAAGAATTTCATCCATTGTTTCAGAACCACCACACCACTCCGCCTGTCACCGAATAAGACAATTAATCAATGTTATTATGAAAACAAGCATGTGTAGTCACGAGGGTCCGAGGCTGATGAGGTGATGGTTCTGTAGCACGAGCGCACCAAAATTACAAAAGAAACTTGCAGAATCCTAAGTCTGGCAAGCTCACAGATGTGGAAGCTGCTGGTCTCACCTCTATTTCATGAAGCTTTGCCTCAAGTTTTTGTTGACTCTCTATTTTCTTCTGCTTGATCCGTCCTTCTGTTACCATACAGAGTCGGCGAGCTTTAACCTCAGCCTGTATTTTGCTCCATGAATGAAGATAGCTCAATGTAGTTGTAGTTTGCTTTGTAACAGGATAAGCTTGGGTCATTATTTGCAATCTTACAATCCCTTTCAAACGCCGTAACGATTTTCTAGCCTGCAATGGGTGAAAGAAAATCTTAGGAACACAAAAACCAGCGTAACAAGACGTGCTCCTTCATGCATAAATGTCTACAATGCTCCTCATCTATCACGAAACGGCAATTATATTTAGAACAGTTTGAGTTTTCATTTGAATCAGAAAAGGAAAAAGCTGCCATGTAATAACATCATTCAACTTTATTACCAAATCCTCATTGCTCATCAAGATTCAAACTAAACATCATTCACTGAATAAGAAGAATGCAAAACCAAAGATATAAAACAAAATTCCACAGGATCACCGCGTAAAGAACACAAACAGCGTTGAACTTTTATACTTTGGAGACTTTAGTGCACACATACATACCACATATGCACGGAAAGCAGTCTGAATCCGAATTGCAGCGATATCCTCAATTGGCAATCCAATATTTTTACCATTCGCAAAAGTAGACTTTTTCAATTTTATGGAGTTTGATTTTCCATGAGCTGAAGATCCCTGTCAGAAAATGTAATGAGGGTTGAGGAATGACAATTTCATACCAATATCAGTCTTGGAATGTTACATACAAATAACTCGCCTTTAGTACTAGTAGCAACCTACCGTTAAATCATAAACCACGCATTCACTAGCATGTCTAGGTTTAGTGTAAAAGTCTCTGTTCATGAAGTAAAATGGTAATGTAACTCATGTATGTTACGACTGCACCATGGATTTGTGATGCCTTCCATTATTTATAAGATAAGCCAATTGCAAGATAGCTACGGCATAAATTAGAATTCTAAACCTCCATACACCTCGTTTAAGATTTCCAAATTCCTAACCCGATTTCCTAACTTGATTTCAATTGCTGGTCACTTCACAGCTTCAAATTCATTTCGTTAACAAAAGCTAAACAATGTAAAACAATTTGGAGGCTCTATACCTTCAACTGTTTTGAACTGTCGTCCTTTGATTTCTTTGTGCCGAAAAATACCTTAAACCAACACCCGGAACCCATACCTGATAGTGAAACTCTGTGTCCAATTTAACATAACCCTGCCAACTAAATACAATCACCATCAACATTAAGCAACAAACAAGGATTTAACTTTAAGCATTCAAAAATTGCTCTCTTTTTTTCCTTCTGAAATCAATCCAACAGTTAAAGATTAAGCTACATTATCCAATAACAAACTGATATAAATCACAATAAACTAACAGTTGACCAAACTACATAATCCTCACAGTAAAGCCTATTCAGCCTCATTTGTTCTTCTGCACTCTGCTTCGTCCCTCGATTCTCCTTCGATGTTTATTCAATCCGAAGGCTAGAACAAGAGGGAGGAGTGCAAGACGAGAAAAACGAAGTGCGAAAATCACTTCTTCGAAGAAAACCAGTTGAAGTCAAACATTGAAAACTGACTTCCATACGAATCTGCATTCTATGAAAAACCCCTTATGCATTTAGCAACCAGATCCCACCCATATGATATGGCCCATATCTTCCAAATGCACAAAAGGGTTATCTCCAAATCATGTTGTCAACTCAAAAACTAAGACAAACAATGAAAAACCGAAGAAAACAGCATCTGGGTAAGTCTCACATACCAGAGAAGCAGCTTGAAAACTCCAAGAAATCAGTTTTGTTTTGAGAAATGGTTGCTCAAGATTTTGGAGGAAAAAGTCCGTGTGGGGGCAGCAGTTGTAAGAGCAGCAGTAAGGAAGAAGCAAAACCCCTGAGAAAGGTGGGGGAGAAAGAGAGAGAGAATAAAAGGTGGGTGTGGTGGAATGGAGATTGCCATGGCCCCATCACCACCCTTTTTTCTCACCAAAAAACGAAAATTATAATTTAAAAATTAAATTAAAAATCTTGCAAAATACAAAATTGCAAACCTTTTTCATATAATATCAAAATTTAATCTATTATGTTTGCCTTGCTTGATTTTCTCACACCTCAATCACAGCACAGGCTCAACCAACGCTAATACAACTCAACGTGTGGGGTGGTGGTGGTGGTGGTGGTTTGGAGGATTGAGACTTCAACAAAAGCAGGCTACAGCGATTGCAGAACAAACCAACATGGGCAATTTGGCATTGTCTGATTGAAATGTGCTGCCTTTCTATTGATCTGAAATTCGTCATCAAGCTTCAATCTTTACTAAAATAAGATACCAAATAATAATACTCCAAAATATCCAACGCATAAATCGTCATCGTATTATATAATGGACGTTGGTTAGGAAGTCAAGTTGCTTGTAGCTTCAGACTTAAAAAGTGTGTGTTGGTGATTTGGTGAATAAATTGCAAAGAAGTCTAATGAGCATTCGTCTATGCACTCGAGATCTTGTGTGAATTTAATGTAGATTTTTCTAGGATGTTACTATTCACACACCCATTTATTTTTTTTCAATTCTTTTGATCCAATGGCCAAAAATTTAGAGGGATGTGTAAGAAATAAAATGTCTGTGTTGGTAGCACTACCCTTCTTCTATTGTTTGCAAATAATAATAATAATAATAATATTGCAAAGAAGGTGCACACAATGCAATGCAAATTTACATGTTGAGGATGTTGAGAATTTGGCATGGATTTCCAAAGAAGGTGCACACAATGCAATGCAAATTTACATGTTGAGGATGTTGGGAATTTGGCATGGAATTCCAACTGAAGCTGGAGATTGGATGTGAAGTTGGAAAATTTGGTAGGAGATGTGAACTTTTTTTTCCCGGTGATTTCAGTTATAGTTGGAGAGAAACAAATGTAGCTCCAAATGCTTCTGCAACCCCTTTTGTGGCCTAAGCACTCTTCTAGTGTGTTAAACAAATTTATGATCAAACTAATTTTTTTTTAAATCTCAAATATGTTATTTGAGATTTAACTGAATCATCTATCTTTTTATCAACATGTGTATGAAATTTGAATTCAGGATATCCTTCTTTCAAATAAAGACTGAATAACTCTTAGACCAAATGATCGTTTGCAATTACATACAACTATTAATCATCATCAACCTCTTCTTAAAACTACAAAATGTTGATTGACTCAATCTTAATTAAACATTTTTGTGAACTTAAATAAATTACCTTCCAAAAACATGAGATTGAAATTGAAGTTTTTGAATTCCAAATCCTTTTGAAGTTTTGCTCCAAATCACAAGCAAATGTACCCAAGCGATTAAAAACATAATTATGCAATAATGCTTGTTGTTGGGCTTTTGGCTCCTCTGCGTTTGTTGCTTTGTAAGTTTAGTCCTCTCTGTGTTTGTTGGTATCCTTCAATTTGTTGTTTTTGAATTTAATGAGTACTAGTTTAGCTGCATTCATCATTTTTTTAAACAACAATAATCAAGCTTTATTTCATTAAGTGAAGTCGAATGTATGAATTCTAAAACGCCACTGCTAAACAAGCTCGAAAGCACTCATTTAACTATTAATCATCTTGAATATTAAAAAACAGCTGGAAACCTTTTGTGTCATATATGAAGAGGTGATTAGTCTGTTGGAACGCTCCGATTGAGGTCATACCAGGAGGATTATCGTCCGGAATCATTGCAAAGCAAAACTCGATGTTTCCAGCTTCATTCTTCACCATATAGAAAGCATTCAACGCATCAAAATTCAGATCGACATTGTTGTCGAAATGGAAGGTGATCCACGGAAACCCCGTAAAACCGTGCCAGTTCACCACCTAGTCGCACGGCTCCAAAGGCTTAAAATCGCTAGGGATCCTCCTCACGGTCGCTTCACCCATCGCCGAGAACACTGCTTCTAAACCTGCTACTAATACATCGTAAGCAGGCCTTACAATCGTGACCAGTACGCCTGAGTGACTGAGTCAATCATAGTTCCCCCTGTTCCGTCGGGTCGCACCACGAAATCCTCCGGCGGAATGTTAAGCCTTCCCCCCATGATGCTAATTGCTAGTAAGTTCAGGTAGCATATTGGGGCGTTGTTGAATCTCCTCAAGGCTGTCACACTTAGGTCGGGTTTTTCCCCTATGCTTGCACTGCATCAAATTTTAGGAACGAACTGGTGGGGCCTGCTTGTTGTTCGCGTCTCGGGCAATACGAGAACCGACCGTCGCCTTGGCCCTTGGCTGGGGGAGCCTAACTGGGTTGCAAACGTCCGCGGACCAAAACCAAGACCCAATACACCTGACATCAGATTACCGTCGTGGTTAGATGCTACCTAAAAATAAAAAATGAGGAATAATATTTAATTTGTCGCACAAAAAAAAAAAAGAGAAAAAAAAAAAAAGAGGTTCATTAATTTGGGCCAGTCAACCTAGTTGTTTTTTTATTTACCCAGTATTTATTGTGTTTTGATTGAAACCCTAACTTTTGTATTTATTTCTTTTTTAGTTGTATGATTATTACTTAGAAATTGAAAAACATCTAACCATGATGAATGGGGTAGGGCATCATCATCATTCATTTTCTCAATTATCAATTAAAGATTAGTTTTTTTAATAAAGAAATCACTTATTAAAAAAAAAAAAAAAAAAAAAAAAGGAAATCACTTGGGTATGTTATATATTAAGAGGTTACATATCTCCACATCATATATACTAGCATATGGGCACACATAAAGTGTGTGAGAAAAAATTTTATTTTTGTTTTTGAAATAGGAGAGAGGAAGAGAGTGATAGAGAATGTGGGAGTGGGAATTTTTTTTCGTTTAATTAGAGATATGTTAGGATTACATGTAGGTGAGGCTTTGAAAAAAAAAACAGCAAAATTTGGTTGTGTGAAATTACATTTCTGCCCCATATTTCTTATTCATGTTCTGTTTTAATTAATTAGAAGGTTAAACTGGTAATTTCATAGGGTTTTGGTTGACAATGAGTGTTTTATTAAGAGTGGTGATATTCCTACCTCGGTGTCTTATTTTCCCACCCACCATTTAATGAAAATGTAATAACATATTTATCATTTTAAAAGAAGACTCTTAAACCCCTATTTAATTTAGTACTAAAATTTTGAAAAAGCAAAAAATAATTTAAAATAATAAATAAATAATGATGGGTGGGGTGTGATATCTTTGGTGGAAAGAGGTTGGGAGCGGTTGAGTTAGAATCGACGGAAAGGTTGGAGGAAGGAATGGGCGTGTGCTAGATGAAGGCGAGAAACTTCAACAGAGAAAAAAGAGAATTGGGTGTGAGATCTGCGGTTTTGACAAAAAAGGAGGAAGAAGAGTGGTTTGGGGATCTGGGGTTTTTGCAGGGTGGCATTAGGTGTGAAGGAGATGATGAATGTCTAGGTCTTAGGTCTTGCATTTTCTTTAATTTTTTTTCTATTTTTATTTATTTATTTATAATATTATTCAAAGATATATTAGAGTTATTTAAAAAAAATATTATGGTTAGTTTGGGAATAATGGTGGGTGGGGAAATAACATTTTACTTTTTTAATTTTCTATGGTGGGTGTGATTATCATGTGGGTGGGAAAATAAGACACTGAGACGGATCTCGTAGCACTCTTTATTAATTAGTAGAGATATGTGTGTGAGTTTATTGCTACTACTAGGTAATGTATAATAGCGCTAAGCTATGCATGAAATAAAAGGTGGATATGATCACATTTATTTGCTTTCATTGTTTAAAATAGATAGCACATATATTGTCCGGCCGATTAAGAACTTGCAAAGCAATTCTCTGGACCAAAGTACAGTTTGAACTCTTTGGTGTCATATATGAAGCGGTAGTTTGTCTGTTGGAATGCTCCAATCGAGGTTGGCATAATAGGATTGCTTTCAGGAAGCATGGCCAAGCAGAACTCAGGATTTCCAGAAGCACCCCTCCCAGTAACAAAAGCAGCCTCATGATCCATATGCATATTTGCATTATTCTGGAGATTAAAAGTGATTATAGGGAAGCCCAAAAACGCTTCTGGCCTCAGCACCTCATAGCAAAGCTCAAAAGGTCCGTACTCCCCAGCTGGGAGCCTTCTCAAAGTGCCTTCACCAGAAGCTGCAAAAACAGCTTCCAAAGCACTTACCAAAACATCGTGTGCATGTCTTGAGATTCGAGTGAAAGCAGATCCTGAGTCGATCATGCTTCCTCCAGTCCCATCGTCTCGGACAGCAAACTCTTCCGGTGGTATGGGAAGCATGTGTCCGTTCACACTTATACCCAGTAAATTTATGTAGTAGTATGCTATTGTGTTGAATCTCCTCAATCCTGTCACACTTAGGTCAGGTCTTTGTTGTATGTCTGCTCCAACTTTTAGGTATGAGGTGATGGGCCCTACAACTCTTTCTCTTCTGAGGCAGTATGAGAAACGACCGTTGCTTTGACCTAGAGGGTCTAATTGGCTGACAAACGTCCGGGGACCAAATCCAAGACCTAGCACGCCAGATATCTGATTAGTATCGCCTGCAAAGGATACCTGAAATTAAGAATGAAAAATCAGTACCAATATATCCAATTAATAAAAACAGGTTTAGGTTATAGATAAACACTCATCAGTATAAATTAATTAAACAGTTTAGTTAACATTATGGTATCAGTCCAAATTTAATGACAAGCAATTATTTCTAAAGTAAGTAATCTTGTAACTAAAGCAATATGGTCGCTCAGTACAGTCACAAGACAAAAGAACCCATATAGCTTTTTTTGCAAACCAAACATAAGAAACTCGATCTTGGAGTAATTATCTCTAAGAGGGAACCATTTGTCTATATTTTCTATATCTTTGTACAAATACCAAATAAATTGACCAAATTGTCAAGAGATTATGGACCAAATATACAATAAATTATTTATTGACAAGATACCAATAGAATTTATCAATACCTGGTTGCTGTCAATGGCACAACCAAAAACCAAACCTTGAATGGACTCCCTACCAGGGCCTGTGCTGCTGTCGAAACTGAAAGTTTCAGATGAAAGATAGCCAGCTACAAAGCTACGGTTAGCGTAGGTTCTCTCAAACGAACAGAAGTCTCCAATACAGAAGCCCTCACAAAGCGGGTGCGCATTACAAGGTAGATGCTGATAAGAAGTTGATCTGCTACTCGGAAATGGTTCATCTACCACCGCAAAACAGCGGTGCTGCTCACATTCTTCGCATTGCAGCCAAGTGAGATCGCTTGCAGTGTCCAGTACAAGGTTGTACAGTTTGAATTGCGGAG